AAATTCACTTCCCAAACTCAAATTAATAAAATAAAGTAGTGTCTACCCACTTTCCCGGCAATAATAGACAAAAAACAGATGGTGCTAGTGACAAGCCTCTTTATTAGGACACATATTATTTATAGCAACTATTAGATACCACTATCGTCATATTGATAAAATATACGATTATAGTTGCCCATTAACCATTTGAGATTTTAGCAAAGATGATGGTTTTGCAGTTTATTATACCATCGGGATTATTATACGACCAATTCCAATTAAACTATAACAGATTATGGTTGAAATAAATTATCCAAATATGAAGCTTTTATGATCATATAACTGTCATAATATTTTCGATAATGGAGAATTATTAGAAATTAGAGCTTGCTTTAATTTTATGCTTTTTGAAGTGATAAAAATAATCTCGACGACTCATAAGAAGTGCAGAGAGAAAAGGTAGAGTCATAACAGGCAGTATTCGTGATTGCTGTACCTAACCAGATAGATTTAGAAGTTTCATCATTTTTTCTTTCTGTAAGTAGTAAGTAATGTCTGGCTAATATGTATAATGTTAGAAGTATGTAGGTAGAGGAAATTGAGTTGACTAAAAGTGGCCATAAGACTATCCTCAAATACCATGAATAAATAATTCAATTATTGTTCCTTATAATATAAATAAATAATTATGCCTTTTACTGCGGGACCCAGTTACTTATGTTGTTATTGTGTTTTGAATTATGAATATTCCTACCACCTTTAATTAAAACCACTTATAGAATTACGATACGAGGTATCTTCGATTAGGGTGCAACCTGACGAAAGGGCGTTAATTACGAAAAAAGGTCATGGCTACTGCTGGTCTATTGTATATTCTAGGCGGTTGGTGATTATTCTCATAAAAAATTTGTATATCTGAGGCTTATGGGTCTATAGTTTCCAATACATTAAGAAATTTGTATGTTTAGCTTTCGGTTTCTTGCTTGTTATTTTTGTTGTTGCTTTTTGCGTCCTTCTTATGGAAATTTTCCGACACACGCAATATTCTATCTATGCCCTCTATATAATGTTTCCTTGTTTGTCCATTAGCTGCCTTACTTTTCTTTTATGTGCGTTCTCCCTTTTGAAAACGTTTAGGCCTTTTTGTTGTTCTATCAATTTTTCGATTTGTACTTCTTGGTAGTTTTTAATGTCTTGTTTTGTCATCCTTCTGCTATTTTGTTAGTATCTTTTTTTCCTTGTTTTATGAGTTCTCTTTTCTTCTCCATCACCAGTTTTACTGGTAAGTATGTGTACTTAATTTCTTCTGGGGAAGGTGGAATTTCTTTACTCTTTCTAGTCTGGGCTATTTTAGGTCTTACCATTCTATAATCGCTGCCAGTCGTGAATGAGCCTAAGACGTCATCTGCATCTTGTATTAATGTTTTTGATGTGTCTGTATAGTCCAAAATTCATCCGAATTAAAAAAACTGTAATTACTTATGTAGATATTTCAGTTGAAAACCAAACTGACACAAATAGCAATATAACGGATGATATATATTTTTGTTATTTACATGCCCAACAAAATTAGATGATAAAATATTATATTTCTTGTGTATAAATTGAAAAGTCTATTAGGTAGCGCAATTCATTTGAAGCTGAAGCTCCTATCTAAATACCAAACTATAGAAATCATAGAAGATCTTTGGGGGCTCCAAATTTTATAAAGAAGATTATAACGTAGAGTCCGCGTCAAGAGTAAAGAGTACGGTGTCGTCATATGCGCACAAACCCAATTTTGAAGACTAACCGAACTATCGTATTGATGGGTGCTGCTGCCGAACGCCAAGCACGTGGTTCATTGTCGTACGGCCAGCAGGCATATTTATTTAGTTTATTTGCTATTCAAGTTTTGTCTAAAAAGATACCCCGCTGCTGATTTTAGATCAGGACCGAGGTCACGGCAGACAGCGAGAAATAGACGAGGGAGAGAGATGCGATCCGCATCGCGCAGCTTTCCATGTCGTCACCGTACTCTTTACTGCTGACGCGGACTCTACAGTACAGCATGTCTTGCAATGATGTTTACAAGCTAAAATGTAATTGAAATATTTCGGGGGAAAGACTTCCTGAACTCAGTCAGAATGCTACACACAGGCTGTAAAACAGAATTGACATTGACAGCAAAAATAAAGAAAAGAGAGAACTGCGTCATTTCATGGAAAAAAAGTTCCTATATTGATTTGTCTTCATAAGTATGTACAGTAGAACCCCGGTTATCCGAGGTAACGTGGGGGGGTACCCACCTCGGATAACTGAAAACTCGGATAATCCGAATATATATATGTATACATCAGGGTATACTATTTAAAACGAAACATGTTAAATATCTGATGTCACTTTTATTTTTTTTTTAAATCGTTCGTATACGTAATTTGATTGTGTGACTGTTTGAAAACCCATCTAAGCACCAATATACTGTTGAACTGTTCAAATAAGACACTCACCTGAAACGTGTAGTTTTTGAACTGATGAGAAAAATTCACAACTGAGTGAATCAGGTAAGTATTGTACTTGAACAACATATTAGTGAATAGGTGGCTGGGTCCACCTATAAGTTCCGCAACAATCCACTCGTTTGTACTTGAATAACTTGTCACATTATATTACTAGTTTGGTAAAGTAACATTACTAATTTTATGGGTGGATCTCTGCGGGACGAGCGCAGCGAGTTCCGCAGCCATCTACTCACCAATATACTGTTGAACTGTTCAAATTAGACACTCACCTGGAACATGTACTTTTTAAACTAATGAGAATAACTCACATTTGAGGGAGTCAGGTTAGTATCGTAATTAAACAACATATTAATGAATAGAGGTCCACCTATAAGTTCCGCAACAATCCACTCGTTTGTACTTGAATAACTTGTCACATTATATTACTAGTTTGGTAAAGTAACATTACTAATTCCTGTTGAAAGGCAAATTGACAAAAAGTAGATAATCTTACAAATTTTGACTTTATATAATAAGTTATTGTTCAAGTACAAATAAGTGGATTGTTGCGGAATTTATGGGTGGACATCTGCGGGACGAGCGTAGCGATTTCCGCAGTAATCTATTCACCAATATACTGTCGAACTGTGCAAATAAGACACTCACCTGAAACATGTAGTTTTTAAACTAATGAGAATAACTCACATTTGAGTGAGTCAGGTTAGTATCGTAATTACACAATATATTGATGAATAGATGGCTGCGGAACTCGCTGCGCTCGTCCCGCAGAGGTCCACCTATAAGTTCCGCAACAATCCACTCGTTTGTACTTGAATAACTTGTCACATTATATTACTAGTTTGGTAAAGTAACATTACTAATTTCTGTTGAAAGGCAAATTGACAAAAAGTGGATAATCCTACAAATTTTGACTTCATATAATAAGTTATTGTTCAAGTACAAATAAGTGGATTATTGCAGAACGTATGGGTGGACCTCTGCGGGACGAGCGTAGCGAGTTCCGCAGCCATCTACTCACCAATGAACTGTTCAAGTAAGACATTCACCTGAAACGTGTAGTTTTTAAACTAATGAGAATGACTCACATTTGAGTGAGTCAGGTTAGTATCGTAATTACACAATATATTGATGAATAGATGGCTGCGGAACTCGCTGCGCTCGTCCCGCAGAGGTCCACCTATAAGTTCCGCAACAATCCACTCGTTTGTACTTGAATAACTTGTCACATTATATTACTAGTTTGGTAAAGTAACATTACTAATTTCTGTTGAAAGGCAAATTGACAAAAAGTGGATAATCCTACAAATTTTGACTTCATATAATAAGTTATTGTTCAAGTACAAATAAGTGGATTATTGCAGAACGTATGGGTGGACCTCTGCGAGACGAGCGTAGCGAGTTCCGCAGCCATCTACTCTCCAATGAACTGTTCAAGTAAGACATTCACCTGAAACGTGTAGTTTTTAAACTAATGAGAATAACTCACATTTGAGTGAGTCAGGTTAGTATCGTAATTACACAATATATTGATGAATAGATGGCTGCGGGATCCACCCATAAGTTCCACAACAATCCACTCATTTGTACTTGAATAAATTGTCACATTATATTACTAGTTTGGTAAAGTAACATTACTAATTCTTGTTAATAGGAAAATTGACAAAAAGTGGATAATCTCACAAATTCTGACTTTATATAACAAGTTATTGTTCAAGTACAGGGTGTTTTTTTTTATATATTGATACTCCACCTACAGCCTTCACCTTTACAAGTAGATGAAAGGTGTAAATACAAAAGTTGTACAGTATTGGCTAAATTTGTAGAATTCATGGTCAGAAACAAAAACTGAATGTCAGAAATGTGGAATGTTACATGCTTTCGGCTTTTTTCAAATGGGATGGGTAATATTTGGTTCTATATTCTTGAAGAGCACAATTTCTCGATTTCAAAACTATATAGTTTGTCTGTATTTGGTTGAGCCGTCTCCAACATATTTGGTTCTAAAAATTTCAAAAATACTATCAGAGTAGGTACTTCAAATTTTACCTATAGCTTTCACCTGTACAGCTAGAATGGTTTACAAAATCAGTAGTAGGATAGTATTTTTACAATTTTTGGAGCTGAATATATGAGAGACTGTTCAATCAAATATAGACAAACTATATATTTTTGGAATCGGGGCATTGTACAAGAATATAGAATGAAATATATGAAAAAAGCTGGAAGCATGCAAAATTGACATTTTGTATTTACACCTTTCTTCTACTTGTAAAAGTAAAGGCTGTAGGTGGGGTGTCAATATATAAAAAAAACACCCTGTACCCTGTATATTCTAGAAACTCGGTTAAAACGGAGTATGGACGTGCGTACCTCAGATAATCGGGGTTCTACTGTATGTCTAAATAAATTGAATCTCAAAGTAAGGTAGGCAGTTATACTGCTGCTTATCCTTATTGCACGTCCAACAGCACTATATCAAAATGTTCAATATATTTTAGCTTATAATTTATTAATTACCTGCGTTTGCAGTAGAAGCATGCTGGGTTGCGGGCTACCTGGGCCGTGTTGTGGTTGTGCTGCCGCTATTAGCGGTGCACCGGAAACTTCGCCCTGGACTAGCACTGAGCCTAAAATAAAGCAAAACATAGTTGGAACAAAATCAAAGACAATTATTGTTTCAACACACTAATTGTTTAGAAAAATCAGATATCACGGACGTGTAGGTGTTTGTATGCTATATACTATCCACGCCCTTCTTTGATATCTCGTCATACATGCACACATACTTACATGCTAAGCTATTGTTTAAATTGGTAGAGTGACATTAGAATTATTGACTTTTTTTCGTTTGTTCAATATTACAGAAATTTTGACATTGTAAAGCATTTTGCTTGAAACGTTCTTATATCACTCAGTATAAACGCTTCATTATGCATGCATACCAATAAAACTAATTGGAAAATGATTGTAAGGAGTTATTAAAAAATTATACCAGTTAATTGTTTTAAGTTATGTCATATTTTATGACAATGGTATAGTGAGGTCTCAAAATATTGTTTGTTAAGGTTTAGAACAAAAGTAACTTTGGGCACAATCTCGTTTTTCTAAAGAATCCAAAAATTGTGCCATTATTGCAAATAAATAAGATTTCAAAAGTCGTGTTCACGGTTTTACAATAACGCCAATAGGTAAACGAGCTATTAATCGTTATTGCGCCATCTCGGGAGATTTAACGCGCGATAATTAGTTTGTCGTAGTACTACTCTGCACCGGTACTAATGCCAGAAACAATGGGAAATGTGTCATAGTTTGATTGGTTTATTTCTAGTTGAAGGAGTGCGTGAAACGTTTGGTTAATTTGATTTAGTTTATTGCATGGGTGGTCCAAGGTTTTTAGAGAACTATTTTGAAATTGTTAATAATCAGAGTATAGTTTTTGAAAATGAAAGTTGAATGCAATTAATTTGGTTCAGAGTATTTCAAAAAACATACTGTAGAATCGATTTCAGCTACCTTAATTGAAGTTGATTTTGTAGAAATTTTTTTTCGTAATCCTTATAATTTGGAAAGTATGTCTGAAATGCACTGGAACATGTTGAAGTTGAAGTAGCTCAGCTCATGCTCAAAGTAGTTTAGTGAAGAAGTGAAGACTTCAATTTGCTCTCTAAGTACATCTTTGGAGTAGTCCAAAATGGTTCTGATATAATTTTTACCAAAATTATTATGTAATTTTTAATCATTTATCCGTTTTCTGAAGATAATCTGTTAACTTTGAAATTGCTCTAAATCATGTTGGCGCATCCAAAATCGTAGAGAGCATATGCAAGCTGACGCGGATAGTATTACGAGAAAATTATTTTGTATTTGTTAACTAACACTCAGTAGTTTGTTTGAAAATGAAGTCAGCAATAAACGAGAGTAGTATCATTTTGGAGTAGCACAGATCGAATTAAGCGTAGGTACTCAATTTATCCTGGATAATAGACGAATACAAGATTTTAATAGAAGAAAAAACAACAACAAGTAGGAAAATGTGGAGAGTGTTACGATAAATTTACGTAACATGTTCCATCTCTTCTTATTTTCATTATAAAGTTGTATTTTTTTCCATTTCAGAAGCAGCAAAATAATAATGCCTAATAATCTAAAAATATACACAAAGTTTAAAATAAAACCAGAGCTGCCATCTATCCATCATGTGCGTAAAATGCAAAAAAAATCTAGAATTCATTTACCAGTGCTGCCTTCTAGTACCGGATGAGTTTTTTTTTTTTTATAAATTGTGATGGTTTTCCTTGGCAATTTTTATTTGATATTCATTTATTTGTATTTTCATTCAAAGAAATTAAATTTATCTCACTTTTAGCAAAAGGATATATTTCTGTCTTTCTCTAACTTCTGATTCTGAAATAATCATTTTTTGGCTTAATGACCTAATTAATTGGCAGTTTTTTATTTTTGACATAACCTTAATTTAAATTATTATAATTTGTAAACAATTAAAATAATTCTAGTGGATTTTTATCTATTCTTTTTTATTCCACGTGGTTTTTCATTGTAATTTCATTGTTAAGTGAATATGATATTTTGGGTGTACTCGTCTGATTGGTTGAACTGGTTAAAATGCAGTTAAGTATAAAAAACACAGGATCGTTTTCCTGTGGGGTTTGGTTTCTAAAACGTTCTCTTTTCCTCGAGGTAGTTTAGCAGGCAAGTCATTTTTATCTTTAATAATTTTTACTTGGCATTTTTTGGATTCTCCCTCATAGATTTTTCAATATATTTTGCTATCAATTAATATCATCAGATTATTGGTAAATTTTTACCTGATAAATCTTATCTTATCTGTTCTTGAAATATAAATATTATATTTTAATTTTTTTTACCTAATTGTTGGCTTCCATTTTGTGTGAGTGCTAATTGGTTGTGCCACGTTTTTTCTGAGATAAGTCAATTCAGACTTTTGGACTAATAAATAGGTACTGCTGCTCTGGTTTTCAGAATCAATTGTTAGTGTGGGAATATTGGACCATTTGCTCTAAATAGAGTCGGTGAAAACCAAATTTGTGTGTCCATCCCTATCAACTCTTTATTGAATCCAGGCAGAGGCCTGAATAGCCATTTTCTGTTTGACTCCATCAATTATTATCTCGATTAAAGGGTGTAATATTTTTAATAGAAATCCAGACAAAAATTCAGTTGAAAAGTTTTAATTAAAACATCTCAAGAATTTTGACATATTCTGGATTTGATTGATTTCACCGTCAGGTTTATCTTGTAGTATCTATACTAGCTACTGTAATTTGAAAGGAAAATTTCGTCTATTTGGGGGAGAATCCAAAGATTTAATTTCTTATTGTTTTACCTTATTTTGTTCATATTTTTGCCTGCTAGTGCTACTGTCAGAAAAGTAGCATTTTCCCATATAACGAGCATTTTTATTTAATCTTGCTGTTATTATTTTAATGTTAATATTATTTTTTTTATATTGAAATATCTTTTTTTTTTAAATTTGCAATAGCTGTTCGTACCTGATTCTGTTAGAAGGGAGTGTCTGTACAACAATAGTTTTATATTTAATTTCAATTTCAATTTCCTTTGCAAGACACTCACTTTTTGACAGAATTCAGGGATTTAATATTCCAAATATTGGTGAACCTGATACTGCCTTATTCTTTTCTGGGTACCTACTCGGCATAAAGATCACTGTTTGGAGTCTGGATCAGCTGGAGTGACGTCACCCCAGCAATCTGTCCTCTTTCCTGGATACAGGAAACAACACGAAGAGCTCCAGTTCACGAAAGTGAAACCCTAACACCCATTGAAGAGCTCCGGGTTGGAAAGGTACATGGTATCAGATTCACCGGAAAAAACCAAGCTGTCAACACTAAAATTTTACAGACAGTAACATTGGGTCCTATGATTGAACGTTTACGTTATCCGTAACTTACATGTTAGGCGGAGTTTTAACACTAACGATGCAAGTTCGTATGATGGAAAGTTTTTCATAACAGATTACTGTTATTTTCTGCCTGTTATGTTGTAATTTAACATATCTCCTCAACAGCCCCGAATAACATGCCGTTAAGTGCTTAGCGTTCATGTTACCAATGTTTTTTTATTTTTTTAAAAATCCTATTTTGAATGACGGGGTAATTAATTTACATAATACAAAGAGAGAATCAAACTAGGAGGTACCTAGGTTATAAACTTTATTACTATTTTATGTTAATCAATTATGAGGTACAAAACCGAGTACAAAACTTTAATTAATTCACTATTTGAGGACTGAATTGAACACTCAAAGAAGAGATACCAGAGATCAATTGAAACTCCTGATAAGGTTTTATTACTAAATATACTAGACTTCCAAAAGTTCCAAAAGAATCGGTGCAGTTTATAATTGCAAGAATAATGCCCCATTTTGATATTCCTCAAATACCAAGGATTTCATCCATTCCAGTTGAACTGAAGCTCTAAATTCTAAAAGTTTATTCTGAATTCTTAGTATAGTTGGAACTGTTTTTCATTTTATATAGGGCAGTGGTTCTAGTAGTGTTTTTATTTTCGTGTACAAATGATGTCCACTCATCAGAGGTGTTTTCTCGCGTCTCGAATTTTTTCAAACATTTTTCAAAACTGGTTTGAAACAGTTTCCCAATGACGTTATAACTTCTCGGCGCGAGAAAATGGTTCAAAAACATGGATTGCATTGTATTTCGGAACAGTTTCAACCAATTTTGTGTGACGTCATGGGTTCATCACGAGAATATACTATTTCAAACCTGTTTTGAACCAGTTTCAAAAAAGTGAACGCGAGAAAACAGCTCTGATGTTTTTTTCGAGTGTTTTTTGGGGTCCAACTCCCAGGACATTTATATAATTTGGAAATGCTAGGTCCCCATTCTCCATACTGTTTCACAGTTATTTTAGATAGTCTTTTCGCTCTAATAAATTGCAAAAAAATGTAATTTAATTGTTTGTTATTGTTGTTTCAAGAAAAACGTCACTTTTGAAACCAAAGTGAAGCTAGGTACAAATACTTTCTCCCATTCCTAACAGCCAGCTTAACATTTTCTGTTATCGATTTCGTCAATTATACCGATATAACATCTACTGTTATTTTATATGTTATCTATTTCCTGTTAGCATAACATAACAGGTTTGTGTTCATTTTAACGTAAACGTTCAATCATAGGACCCATTGACTGTTACATGTTACTACATAACATTGTAAACAAAATAACATTGTTGTTTGTTGGATTTTGAGTGGTTTCATTTACACATAAAGGGGCTACACGTTGTCTTAATTTTTTGAATTCCACGACCTTAGGTTATCTTGTCTTAAAGTTCAAAATATCAATTAATTTGTAACAAGAGAAGGTAAAGAATTACAATGAAGAAAGACAATATGACAACAAAATAAGCTAAACATTCAAAATTAATACTTTTAGAATAAATACATAAATACACCTAAAAAAATTAAACTAGACATCAAAAATCGATTATATTGACTACCTACACTTGCAAAACAGAGATCAAACTTGAAATTCCAGGATGTGAGAGCATATAAGGGATCTGCCTGTGGTAGGGACTAATACCTCATGTTGAAAACAAAAAAAAAATT